ACTTTAGAGTTGCTATACAGCCTTCAAAATTATTAATTTTATGTAGGTATGTGACCTATATAAGTCTGGTTTTGAAGAGGGACACAGAGAGAAAGGTAAGGGAATAGTTTGAGGGGAAGGGAAGGTGGAGGGGACGCATGGGAAAGAGGTGGTTAAATTGAATGTCTTTTTTATTAATATATGTTGGTTATATGTATTATAACACTTAAATAAAACTGGTGGAATTTATATACGGTAACAATATTTAGTAATATTTAGTAAGCTTCACAATAAATATATTAAAACTGAAGAAAAAACATTTTGGATACACAATTAAAAATAGTTTAAAAATAAAAATATTACAAAGAAATGTTAAATAAATAATAAAGAAAACCTTTCAGGTGGCCTATTCATGATACATACAGTTGTTTTATGATACTCCACTTCACTATGATATGAGCTAGGTGTAGCTGGTGTGAGAGAGCCACACACACACAGAGTCACACAATGAGACATGGGGAGGTGATCCTTGTCCTCGGGGACAAACTAAAACAGTCCCCCTTTTAATCTCCCTCTCTCTCCGTCTCCTCCTATTTACCTGCCTTTCCTGTCTCTGGGGAGGTTGTTACCCTCCTACACCTGCATTTCCTTATTTGGCGCCAACACACACGACCTATATACACACACAGTCTCCTTCACATTCTCTATCCTTTTGACCTGACAGAATGTGAGATGAACAGTACAAACTTGTTGTGTTTGGGGTTTGCACACTGTTTCCACACACATGTAGTGAATCTTACACAGACACGCACCACTGAGACTGCTGTTTCAAACAACCTTCCATTCCTACAACCAGTAGGGGGCAGCAGAGACCTTTCACACCCCCTCTCTGCTGAGCGCCATTCTGTATGCAAGAAGACTGCCCTGCTGAGCAGCTGGATCGAGCGAGGTTAGAGAGAGAGAGAGACGCAGCAAGAGGTCCCCCTGGCTGCTACATTATCAGGCTGTAAAAGATGGCAGACTGGAACTGCACACATTCACTGTGTGTGCGTGTGTGCGGTATGTTTCAGTACTGTTCCTTATTGTGCCTATAAATGCAGGTCTGTGTTGACTGTGTTCATGTGCACTTTGTTGTGCATTAGCACTGTATGTACATTGTCATTTGCACCTGATGACTTGATGTTTTGTAAATGTGGCTGGTTGTGTGTGTGTGTACACATCTTTTTATAGGACAATTGTGTGTTCAAAACCATCACAGTGAGGACATTTCAACACTGAGGGCATTTATGACCAAAGACCAATGTGTGTATGTGTGACGTGTGTCTGCATGTGGTTGTTGCATCATTGTGTTTCTATTTTTATGGGGCTCATATATGACATCAGTGTGGATAATGTTGTAATCACCAAAATAATAATGAAAACTGAAATGGCCAAACCTACACAAATAGGATTTACAACGTTATACTGTAAAATGTTTTTAAGTGAATGATTTTGGGTTGGGACTAGGTTTAGGTTAATGTTTCAGATAAGATATGGTTTGTAGCAGTCACAAAGACCCACATTAATACAGCATTTGAGCAACTAAAGAGCAGTGCAACAGAGTGTAAAAACAACACTGACATGTTATGACTTTATAAGGTTGATATGGCTAATGTGTTAGCAGTTCATT